TGGTTAGTCTTTCTCTCAGATGTGACCTTGATGTGGGGAATGAAAAGTCCTGGTGGAAATCAGTGGTTATGTAACACTCACTATTTAGATGGAAGAATTGAGGCAAAGAAAAGAGCTGACCTTGGTCCCCAGCAACCACACAACGTGAATGAGGACTATGTTATTAACAGAAGGCTTTGAATAACAGACTCAGAGATGGAAGGGACCTTTGAGGTCATCTAGTAAAACCCCTCGTTTTGCAGTTGAGGAAACTGAGGCTGAGAGGTGAACCCAGGTTCTTCAACCTGGTGCACTTTGTCTCATTAAAACAAAAACCCAAACGAAAAGGAAAACTTCTACTTGTCATCAAGCATTTATTACTTGCCTAAATGTGATGCATGAACTACTTAGTACACACCAACAGAGGAGGGATGGCAGGAGCTCTGGGGGAGGAAAGACCCCTTGGGAATGAATGCAGACCAGCTCCCGCCCTGCCAGGGCCTGAGTCGCCTTGGAGCACTGATCCTCAGAGTGACTTGTCCACAGTCCGCCTGACTCCAGCCCCGGCTCTCCACCTGCTCAGCCACTGCCCTGAGACTTAAAGAAAATATTCTCCTGTTCACATTTTTGTACAAAGAAAATGAACAGACCCTTAGGATCTTCATGCCCCAGTTGTGCCTTTTACCGGCCTCGGCCCCTTCCCTACAGCTTATAGAAAGAAGCAAGCAAACCTAAGTCTGAGCTGGTCTCTTATCCGATTCAAACACACGTCACTCAGTTACTTAACTGCTGCCCAGACTTTTCTCACTTAGGTCCTTTTCTACAGCCCCTCTTGCCTTGACCAACACACATATCCAATGCCCTTGTGTGCCTTCATTCCCACATAGGGCCCAGCTCAGATTATTTGATTTGAAGATCCCAATTTGGGCTGTTGGCAAGCTAGGCTATCCACATATTTGGGATAGAACATGAAATATTCTCCATTCTCCCTGGGCATCACCATTTTCATAGCCAAATGTATTTTTTTTAAAAAACCAAATCCCCTCTTCCTTTCACCAACACAAACAGCCCACCCCCTAAAAGCATTTTTATTAGAATACAGCAGTGACAAGCATTTATGGAGTGCTTACTGGGTCCTGTGTGGCTGGCCCATGGAGGCCTTGAAGACAGAAAGACAAAAGTGAAGCTATCATAGGTTCCATAAGGGCCTGAGAACCTTCTCATTTTACAGATAAAGAAGCTGAGACACAGAGAGATTGGGACTCCCTGAATCATGCAGCTAGTGACCAGGATGGAATTTGAACCCAGGTTTTCCTGATTCCAATGGAACATCTAATCAACTGCACCAGGCTACTTAGCTCTCCCTATGCTCTAAGAACTAAATTTCAACATTGGCTGCATTTTGTAAGTATCAAGGGTTCCATGTAATGAGATGATCGGACTGCGAAAGATAGAAGGCAAAAGGAGAAGGGAATGGGCAGAGGATGAGATGGATAGATAGTGCCATGGAAGCAACAAACATGAGGTTGGACAGACTTTAAGAGATAGTGGAGGGGCAGCTAGGTGGCGCAGTGGATAGAGCACCGGCCCTGAAGTCAGGAGGGCCTGAGTTCAAATCTGGCCTCAGACCAACACTTGACACTAGCTGTGTGACCCTGGGCAAGTCACTTAACCCCAATTGCCTTTAAAAAAAAAAAGAGAGAAGGACAAAAAGGCCTGGTGTGCTGTGGTCCACGCGATCATGACGGGTTGGACACGACTGAATGACTGACCAACAACGTTCCCCTCCAACCTGAGTCTGGCACCTCTCTGTCAGGAGGTGGCCGCACAGAAGGTGAACTCTCTGAACCACACACCAGAATTATTCCCATAGCTCCGCACTCATGACCAGCTGGTTGGAAACGGTCTCCAATCCCAGCCCCCAGCCGATGTGCAATCTCGCCTTGTTAAAAACCTCACCTACGAGTGATGAGTCCACATTCTGACGCTCCTTTTATTCCCTATGGCACAAACATCAGGCCTGTCTATGTAATCACCCAAAGCTGAGCTTTACCAGACAGTTCAGGGCATTTGTGTCTAACTCTAAACCCCACTACCTTGAGGAGATTGCAACAACATATCACAAAGATCACACGCTACGACCGGGTGGGATTTATACCAGGAATACAGGGCTGGTTCAGTATTAGGAAAACTGTCAGCATAACTGACCATATCCATAACAAAAATAACAAAAATCATGTGATTATATCAATAGATGTAGAAAAGCTCTAGACAAAATGCAACACACATTCCAATTAAAAACAAGAGAAAGCACAGGAATCAATGGAAGCTTTCTTAAAATGACAAGTAGTATCTATCTAAAACCAAGAGAAAGCATTATCTGTAATGGGGATAAGCCAGAAGCCTTCCCAATAAGATCAAGGGTGAAAATAAGGATGTCTATTGACCATCGCTATTATTCAATACTGTACTGGAAATGCTAGCTATAACTCTGATCAATACAATGTTCCAAGACAATGCCAAAGGACCCATAATGATAAATGCTACCCACCTCCAGAGAAAGACTTGAGAAACTCTGAGTGATGATGGAAGTATAATTTTTTCACTTTCTTTATGTTCTTGTTTCTTATTTTTTTTTTTTTGCAATATGGCTAATATGGAAATATGTTTTGCCTGATTTCACACGTATAATTGATATCACAATCTCTTGCCTTCTCAAACGGGAGGGGAGGGGTAGGAGACAGGGAGAGAATTTGGAACTCAAAAAAATTTTTAAATGAATGTTAAAAATAAATATAAATGAAAAAAGAACACTGAAAAAAGAAAAGAAATGCTAGCTATAGCAATGAAACAAGAAAGAGAAATCAAAGGAATAAAAACAGATGATGAGGAAACAAAACTGTTATTTTGCGGATGATAAGATGGGATGTACTCAGAGAGGTAGAGAGAATTAACTAAAAAACCAAAACAATTAATAACTTTAGCAAAGTTGCAGGCTATAGAATAAACCCATGCAAATCATCAGCATTTCTATATGCTACCAAGAAAACCCAGAGGAAGAGATAGAAAGAGAAATTCCACTTAAATTTAACTGCAGATAATATAAAATACTTTGAAATCTACCTGCCAAGGCACAGACAGGAACCATATGAACACAATTACAAAACACTTCTCACACAAATAATAAAAACAGAGCTAAACAATTAGAGAAATATTAATTGCTTATGGGTAATACCACCTAAATTAATTTACTTATTCAATGCCACACCAACCAAACTACCAAAGAATTACTTTGTAGAGCTAGAAAAATAATAACAAAATTCATCTGGAGGAACAAAAGGTCAAGAATATCAAGGAAATCCATGAAAAAATGTGAGAGAAGGAGGTCTAGCAGCACTAGGTTTCAAACTATATGACAAAGCGGTAATCATCCAGACATTTCGGTACTGGGTAAAAAACAGAAAGGTTGATCAATGTAACAGATTAAGTATACAGTGGACAGAAGCAAATAAGCATGGCAGCCTACGGTTTGACAAACAAAGATCCAAGGAACTGGGGGCAAGAACTCACTATTTGGCCAGAACTTCTGGGACAACTGGAAAGCAGTCTGGCAGAAACTGGGAACAGACCAACACTTCACACCATATCCCAAGATGAGCTCAGAATGGATACATGATTTAGACATAAAGGGGGATATAAGCAAATTAGGAAAGCATGGGGAAAAAAAGAATTACCTGTCAGATCTATAGAGAAGGGAAGAGTTTATGACCAAATAAGAGATACAGAGGATCATCAGAGGTAAAATGGATAATTTGGATTACATTAGATAAAATGCTGTTTCACAAACAAAAGCAATGCTGCCAAATTTAGAAGGAAAGCAGAAGACTGGGGAAAAATTTTTATGGCAAGTTTCCCTGATAAAGGTCTCATTTCTCAAAATATGTAGGGAATTGAGCCTAAAATTATAAAAATTAAAACCACTCTCCAACTGATAAAAGGTCAAAAGATATGAACAGGCAGTTTTCAAAAGAAGAAAAGCTATCAATAATCATATGGAAAAGATGTTCTAAATCATTATTGATTAGAAAAATGCAAACTAAAGCATCTCTGAGGTATGACCACACATCCATCAGATTGGCTAAGATGACAGAAAAGAAAAATGACAAATACTAGAGGGAACGTGGAAAAATTGTTGGTGGAGTTGTAAGCTGATCCAACCATTCTGGAGAGCAATTTGGAACTATGCCCAAAGGCTATAAAACTGTGCATACCCTTTGATCAAACAAAACCACTACTAGGTCTGTATCCCAAAGAAATCAAAGAAAGGGAAAAGGACCCACAAGTACAAAAATAGTTAGAGCAGCTCTTTTTGTAGTGGCAAAGAATTAGAAATCGAGGGGATGCCTATCATTTGGGGAATGACTGAACAAGTTGTGGTATGTGATTGTGACGGAACGCTATTGTGCTATAAGAAATGATGAGCAGGATGCTCTCTGAAAACCTGGAAAGACTCATCCAAATTGATGCAAACTGAAGTGAGCAAAACCAGAACACCGCACACAGGAAGAGCGATACTCTCAGAATAACCAATGGCAAGAGACTTTGCTACTTTGATCAATGTAATGATCCGTGACGATTTCAAAGGACTCGTGATAAAAAAAATGCTATCCACCTCCAGAGGGAGAACTGATGGATTCAGAGTGAAAACTGAGGCATATTTTTTTTCTTTACTTTTCTTGCTTTTTAATTTCACCGCATGGCTAACGTGGAAATACATTATGCATGACTTCATATGTATTTCTTCCCTTCTCAACAGGTGAGGGAGGGATAGAAGGAGGGAGAAAATTTGGAACTAAAAATAAAAATAATTTTTAAAAAATTCACTACTTTAAGCATTTCCCCCTCTTCCTTAAATAAAGGAAAGAACCTTCTCTTAACAAAATGTAAACTTTATTTTAACATCACAGAATATCTCTACTTGAAAATGTCAAGCATAAAGATAGACGCTCTATATTGTCACAGAGAAAGCAAAAATACTTTTTACAATTAATTACAATTTTCAACAGAGAATAAGAAATGAACATTATTTTTTAAAAATTTCATTGTTTCACAGATTAAAGGCTAGATTAGAACAATCCCCATATAAAAATATTTCTTCTAACTTTTATACACCAAGAAATAATAACATATATATACATATATATGCATATTTCCATCAAAAAAGTTTTAAAGACATACCAAACTGCGGTAAACAAATAAAAAATATCTTTCATTAGCTCTACAAGGGGCAGAACCGCTTTGCCTCCAAATGAAGGCTGTTCATTTGTAACCCTATAGCCCGACACTTTACTACAAAAATAACATGGGACTGTTGTCACCACTTTGCCATCTTCAAAATGATAAAAACTGGCATTCTTTGGTTTGTGAGACCCTCATGTATATGGCCAGTTTGTTTCCAATTCCTCTTATACTGTAAGAAGAGAGTAAGAGACTAAATCAAGCAAAAGTCTCCCCTAGGACAATAAAACCCAATGGATTCCAGTGCCAATGGCTGCCCCGACAGCTCATTTCTTAACTTAGCCTTGAAATGCTAGAATTCTTCAATGTGTTGTCCTGTCCCCTGTACCCCGCTTGGAACAGAACAGATCAACATTTTAATATCAGCCACTTGGCTCATATTTCCTCAGAAAGGACGGGAACACACCAGAATCATTAAAATTGGTTTTCTGTGTTAAAATTCACAATACATGTTCATCTATTTTGTGGAGAAAGAGATGGGGCTCACGTGCAATTCCTTTTCCTGCTGGGTTCCTCCAATCTCCCGTGCTGCCTTGTCTGTTCCCATCAGATATTCCTCTCTTGATACCTAACAGAATAAGACAAAACGGTGTGATAAATAACCCCCTTCCCCTACGTGTTAGCATGAAATGTCCGCCTGGTTTCTGTCTCCACCAGCGTGGTCTTTCATTTTGCTCACAGGCTACCAGGGAGCAGAAATCAAACGTTCTTTTGGGTTAAGTTTGGAAATGTACTAGGCACATGTGTGTTCCTGAGAAAAATCAGCCATCTCTCTGGAGCAACTAAGGAGAAGAGGGTTGGAAAAAGATTCATAAAGGATAAATAGGACCTAAAGGGGGTGGGAGAGACGACGGGGACAAGAAAAGCAGCCTGAAGACGGAAGTTTAAAGAAGACAATCCTGCCAGGATGGCCGGCCCTAATACCGCCAGCTTCGCTTGAGCATTTTTTGTTGATTTATTCCTTGCTAAAATATAGAAAGTGTTTCAAAATGTCCCATTATGAAAATAAAGACCTACCACGGCTTTGTGGGATGTCTCATCCCGCGGCCTGTTTGGAACCTGCTGCAGGAGGCACCAGACTGTCCAGCTGCTGGCTTTGTCCTGTGTTAATCAACCATTCATAAAACTTGTTCTCAACCAGCACCTGGAATTGCTTCCTTTGATCCCTAAAATGTGGAAGATGGGGATGGAGAAAATAGGGATGGGGAAGGAAAAAAACAATCAGGGAATTATTAGCTCCAAGGATAATAACATTTTTTACCCCACATCATCACAAGTCACATGAATATCTCTATTGGCTGAGCCGTTCTCAAATTTCCATTTTCTCTCCCACTAAACAGCCCCCATCCTGGGGACATCTAGACTACCAAAACAAAAACCAACCCAAAAACCCAAGACTTCCATAAAATTCCAATCAAGCACAGCCATTTCTTCCTCCTAGTGCATGAGGCTCATTACTTTGCTACAAAAAGGAAATGGCCTGGGCACAGAGGATTCTCTTTACCAAGAGACCCGGGTGCCACCCAAAGTTCTTTGTCCTGCTATCCTTCTATAGGAAGATCGTGCTCCAGTAACTCTCCAGACAAAGCAGTCTTTGCCTTCTCACTGCCAGTCTCACCTGAGACCGATCAGGACAGAAAAGTCCTGTCCAACAAAATACATCGACATAGCCCTTTCTGAACTTACTCCGGACTTTACTACTGTGCCCCAGCAGCCTTCTCCCTCCGCCCCTGTAGCCCCCTCCTCAACAGGATGTCCAGGAGACACCTCAAACTCAACATGTCCAAAACAGATTACCTTCTCCCCAAATCCTCCCCCCTCCTACCTTCCCTATTACTGTAGGGGCATCACCATCAGCCCAGGACCTCAGGCTCCCTACCCAGGTGTCAGCCTGGATTCCTCACTGTCTCTCACCCCCCATATCCAATATGGTGTCAAGGTCCGCCAATTTCACCTCTACAGAATCTCCTGAATATGCCCCCTTCTCTCCTCTGACACTGCCCTCATCACCTCATGCCTGGACTACTGCAATACTTCCTGGGCGGGGGGAGGGTCTGCCTGCCTCAAGTCTTTCCCCATTCCAGTCCATCCTCCATTCAGCCACTAAAACTCAGGTCTGATTATGTCACTCCCCTACTCAATAAACACCAGTGGCTCCCTATGGCCTCTAGAAGCAAGCACAAAACCCTGTTTGGCATCTAAAGCCCTTCGTAGCCTAGCCCCCTCCTCCCTTACCCTCCGATCCATAATCCTTGATCCACCCTCAGTTCTGGGCCTTCTCTCTGGCTCTCTCCTCTGCTCCAATTACTGATCTTGCTCACTTCCTTTAAGTCCCTAAGAAAATCCTTCCTTTTATTGGAAGCTTCCCCCAACTCTTCTAAATTCCAATGCCTTCCCTCTGTTAATTATTTCCAATTTATTCTGCATAGAGCTTACTTTGTATGTATTTGTTTGTTTCTTGTCTCTCCTGTTAGACTGTAAGCTCCTCGAGGGCAAGGAATGCTTTTTGACTCTTTTGGTATCCCCAGCACTTAGCACAGAGCCCAGCATACAGCAAGCGCTTAATAAATGTTTACTGACTGACTGACTTTTTCCATTGATGAGTTCCTGCCCAAACCTCTGCTGTGAGAAGGGTCCAGACCGGCCCTCCTTCATTCCTTGGACTGTGCCACCATGTCCCTTTTCTTGGCCTTTCTTGGCCTTTCTCTGAATTCCCGGTGCCTGGCATGGGGCAAGCTTTCAGTAAATGCCTGTTGACCGACGACTGACCAGTGACAACTTCAGGTCGCTGAATTCAGCAAAAAGGAACAGATACTTACTGAACGACTGCCAGCAGCTATCCAATGTCATCCAAACTTCCCAAGATAACCAATCACAAACTCATGGAAATCAATACAAAGATGAGAGGTTCATTATTAGGAGGATTAGGTATCAAGTGCAAACTACTCAGTCCTCTGACAACTTGCCCCACCAACCTTATTTCAGTTCTTGTGCCTCCCCTGTTCTCCTCACCACCTCTGACCTCCCCACGCTCTCTTGAGCTTTCACACCTTTGCTTGTGCTCCTGTGCCTACTTGGGAATGCTGTTCCAAAACAGCTCTCCCTGGCCATGTCTTTTTTCATTGGAACGTAAGCTCTTTGAAGGCAGTATGCGCTGTCTCGCCTGCTTGTATCTGTATCCCTAGCATTCAACACAGTGCCTGGCACAGAGCAGTAAGTGATTAATAAATGCTTTTTCAGTCACGCACTCAAATTTTACAGCTCAAGATCTAATTCAAGCTCTGTCTCTGCCCTAACACATCTCTGATGATAAGGCTAATTTCTTTTGCTGAATTTCATCCACCGTTACTGTCTGTACCATACAACCCAGCACTTAATTTTCTATTGTCTGGTAAAATTCTTTGGTTGCTTCTTGTGCGTCAACCTTATTTCCCCACCTGCATTATCAACTACTCACAGGTAGGATGTTTGCCCCGAGCTGCCACGGTATACGTGGTGTACAGCAGGGCTCCTTAAACTTGGGAGTCTTGACCCAAGTTTAAGAAGAGCGGGCGTACAGCATTCAGGAGACGCGCTCTGCTGAAACAAATGGACACAAACAAGTCTGTACTCCAAGACTTTGAGGGAAGACTTGGGTCCTCTTAACAGGAAGATTGCAGTGTCGATGATTTGCAAAGAAGCTGGTTATTTTATGCAACAAACGTATTTTTGCTACTAGGAAGGACTCACTCACTTTGTCAAACCTGCCTCCTTCACCGTCTTCTGCCAGATGTGTATCTTCTGTTCTCGTTGGCTCAGTGCCTTCTGATAGGCTGGTGGGAGACCCCCGGGAATCTCTGTTGTGTCCCCTTCCATCTCAAACGGAATCACAAACACATAGAACTCACAGGGGGACAAGAGTCGGAAGATCCTGGCATCGTCATGCTCCCTGCACACAACCATCGGCTTGTCCCAGTAGTTGGGCACGGTGGCAAGTCCGGTCTTAGCCATGTGGTCTTCAAGCATTGGGTAATGAGTATGGAAAGGTCCGAATGTTACCATCTGATTACCAGACAGGAGAAGAGGGCGTGTGGGTGTCAAGACGTGAAAGGTGCAGCCCGTGGTGGAAGAGATGGACAGACGATGGCAAACAGCGATGACCTTCACGTTGTCACAGCTGTGGAGGTGAAGAGTGGTTTGCACAGGCCCCAGGACCAAAGTGCTGCTCCTGCACTTCTCCACGGTCACAGATCTGAGAAACAGAACAGCAGCAAGCGTCAACCAGAGGCCCCTCACTTTATGAAAGTAGAGCACCTGGACCAATGGGAAATGTCACAAAACAAAGAGCATACCACTCCCGGATCAAAAGAAACGCAAGAGCGCTCAGACGAGCTTGCTTACCGTAAGGGGGACAGAAGGTATATAAAAGATTCATTGCAACGGTGAATCTTCACGTGGGCCCCGACTAAGGTCTCTGAGCTCTTGGCCAATGTCTGCTTGTACACCTGGGTCATTACCACAATGCGGTGTATCTTGGGGGCCACGTGTGTGTTACACGCAATCTTGGCTCTCTTGGTAGTTCCTTCAACTGCAAACAAACACACACACACACACACACACACATACGATACAGTTTAATGAAACAGTTTACAATGGAGCATTAGTGTCAAGAGATATTCATGTACATGCAACAAGCACGCTTTACAATGAGGCGAAACAAGGTCACAAAATGTGACCCAGGGCCCACCAGAAACCATGTTTCATTTCCCAACTGAGCCAGACAGTCTCTTCTTAGAGTCCAAAAGTCTCCAGTTCCGGAGATCCGATCTCCCCAAGGCCAATCCAACAGCTGGGGTCAAACCCACCATCTGCTTTCCTTGTTGCTAAGCTGCTGAGCATTGCTGGAAAAAGCTGCAGAATCACGTGGATTTGGCACAACAAATTCATGCTCCTAAACTGAAATGGGCCTTCACTGCTTCCAAGCAGAGCTTTTTAATATCTGCTGAATTCATCCTGTGCCCTGTTCCAAATACCTTCCATATTCCTAAAGCCCCCAATCCTACCCTCACCTTCCTCACTCTCACCTCCAGCTTTACTGAGCTGCTGGTCCTTTAAGCATGAGATCCTGGCTCAACAGTCATCACGTGAACATACTGTTATAGGAAATGAACTGGATCAACTTTGACACGCTTGCTACAACCGAGACCGGAAGACAACAGTGAGCTGTAACTAAAAGGGAGGAAGGCCCACAGGTTCTGTTTGCAGGGGCAAATCAAGGAGCTGAATTGCCCAAGGGCAACAAGAAACATTAATTTCCTGGGATTTTTGGATCCCTTTGTATTGCAGCATGCCGGGTAAGTGCTGCAAAGACTCCACCGTGAAAACAACTGCCTGGATTACTGCACTAGCTGTTGGGGTGCTTGCCTCCAGGGTCTCTCCCCACTCCAGCCCATCCTCCATTCAGCCACGAAAAGAATTTCCCCACAAACTCCAGGGGCTCCCTGCGGCCTCCAGGAACAAAGAGAAAACCTTTTGCTTGCCATTCAAAGCCCTTCGCAACCTGGCTCCCTGCTGCCTTTCCATTCTTTTCACACAGGACACCCCAACATATGCCCCTGGATGCAGTGCTCCTAGCCTCCTGGCTGGTCCACCAATGAGATTCACCATCTCTTGGCTCTGGGCCTTTTAAGTGCTGCCCCCAATGCCTGGAACGCTCTCCCTCCTCTGCTATGATTACTGACCTCCCTGGCCTCCTAAATCCATTCTACAGAAAGCCTTCTCAACCCCTCTTAATTCTAGTGATTTCCCTTACTTATCCAGGATATAGCCTCTTCTGTCTCTATTTGTTTGCATGTTCTCTCCCTCATTAGAATGTGAGCTCCTTGAGGTTAGGGACTGTCTTTTGCTTCCTTCTATATCCCCAGTACTTACCACAGTGCCTGGCATACAGTAGGTGCTTAATAAATGTTTATTAATTGATTACATACACAGATGAAAAAGCAGAGGATTCTGCAAAGAATCCAAAAAGAACAACCAAATCAAATCAACCTACCTGAGTAACATCAAATACAAATAAAAGTGGATAAAAGTAATGACTGAGAAATAGCCAGCTGGAAAATCTTAGTCACGAGTAAGGCAGGCGAGAGGCCACTGTATGTGAGTGTCCAGTCTAGACACTACGAACACTTTCTTTAAAAAGAGCTTCGGAAGGTGCTACACTTGGCAAGCACCAGTAACACTACCAAAAAACAATACTGATTACCTGAAACGACTCATTACTCCAGTGGGAGTTGTTCTCAAATCAGCTGCGTAGAGTCAGACTACTGACTTGTTAGAGAAAAGATCAAAATTAATAGTGAAACGAGAGGCATAAAAATGAGGAGAATACAGTGTAATGAAGGCAACTGCAGCCTGACCTATTTAAACAGGTCACTGACACTGAAAAATGGGAAACGGATGAAAGAAAGGACAAAGACACGAATTACAAGTTTCAAGCAAAAGTTTAACCAATATAAATCAAATGCCTTAACAGGGAGCCCCAAAGAGCCTAAAAACGGCTTCCGTTAACAAAAACCATGAACTACCAGCCGGGTCAAGAAATATAGCCTCCAATGACACCAGTTTAGAACAGAAATTTATTAGCAAAATCTCAGAGAAGGATGATTGAACATGATTGCTTCATAAATAAGAGGAAGCAGTTGGATTTGATGAGCAACGTGGCTTCAAAAGGAGGAAGAAACAAGGGAGAAGAGGGAAGAATTAGCTGAAATAAAGGCCGATGAGAGAACCAGCAAAGGCTTCCCCAGGTCGTCATTGAAAGATGAGACTGGAAAAGATCAATTAAAAAATGTTTTTAACTAATTCATTTCAGCATCAAGGGCAAAGCAGAATGTATCACACTGGAACTTCAGCATCACAGTCCCAGATAAGTCTCTAGACGCAACAGAAACGGCCTTGAACGAACGAAAATAGGAAGAGCAGAATAACAGACATTTGTTTAAATATCTTAGACCATCTCCTTGAGATTGGTGTACTTTACGACAAAAGTCTCCAAGCAAAAGAGGGACTTTGCCCCTCCTGGGTATCTTTCTTTTTTGAGGTTAGACACGGAAGACACAGGGCCACGTAGACCCCAGGAACAACAAGCCATTCCACTGGAGACGCACGAGGCCTTAGAACCTACCTTGCTGGGCCCAAGCCAACTTCTTCCCAGTCTTGAGGCAGGCAGATGTGCCAAACGGGTTTGTGGTCAAACAGCACTTAAGCCAGGCTTCCAGCTTGGAGAAAGAGAAGGTTTTGGAAGTCTTGGAGAAGCCGCTTTCTGAATGCAGGGGCTGCCACAGTGCAAGCTCGTGGAGCGGATAGACCTTTCTGGCTTTGCTGACTGTGCCTTCAATGAGAAAGCTGAGAGCCTGCACAGCTTCGGGAGAGACCAGGCTTTTGTGGGTGGAGTGGGAGGCATCGGTGAGCTGCTCTGGGTCCAAAAGGAGCTCCAGGAGGTTGGACAGGTGATTATAGACAAAGGCCTGGTGGCTGCAATCATTCCAGGTCTAAAAAAATCACAAGAAAGCAGCCTTAGTGAAGGGAAGAGCTTTCATAAGACATAAACACTGGACTGGAGCAGGGGTGGGGAACCTGTGGCCCTCCAGGTCCTCAAGTGAAGCCCTTTGACTGAATCCAAACTTTAAATCCAACTTCTTTCAGTCAAAGGGACATACCTGAGGACCTAGAGGGCCACATGTGGCCTCAAGGCCAAAGGTTCCCCACCCCTGGACTGGAGGCAACTAGGTGACTCCGTGGATAGAATGCCGGTCCTGGAGTCAAGAAGACCTGACTTCAAATCCAGCCTCAGACACTTACTAGCTGTGTGACCCTGGGCAAGTCACATAAGCTGTTTGCCTCAGTTTCCTCATCTGTAAAATGAACTGGAGAAGGAAATGGCAAACCACTGTAGTATCTTTGCCAAGAAAACCCCATGGGCATTACAGTCCACGGGTGACTCAACAGCCACAACAACAAAACATAGGATCAAATAAATTCTTTCTGAAGAGTGTCTGCAAGATGGGGAGAAAAAGGCATCCGAAGACGGATTTTCACCAAAGCACCCTTAAAGTCGCAGATCAAACACACTACAAATGCAAACAATTACTCAAAACAGACATTTGGCTGGCTTAGGAAACACATTCCTTAATCGTCAAAGAACAGTTACTTCACCACCCTTTGGTAGAATCCATGCAGTGTGTAGCTTCAAGAGGGGCAAGGACCCCCACCGGACCAGACGAAGTCACAACACAACAGGCATCTCAGTAGGGGTCCAGGTCCTAAGAACATCATTTCCAAATACCACAACAATTTCCCCGGCACATCCCGGCCCTTCTTTCAGGGGGATCTAACCCACTAATTTCATCCATGCGATACGGGTCAGGACTTCATAGAGAAGCCATATTCTGAGAGAGCCGTTTATGGCAGTGAGAGAGGAAGTGATTTGTCCAGAGTCACACAGCTAGTAAGTGTCAGAACCAGGACTGAAAGCGAGGTCTTCCTGACTCCAAAGCTGGCATCGTGCTGCTTCTCCTGGGATCACGGAATGAAGGATTAGATACTTTTTTGATCCTCACGACCTCTCAAACATCTACAAAATAGGAATTATGCACAAGATGGTACAATTTCATCGGTCTCCACGGCCTGACACTAAGAACCACGGCATGTAACAACTCAGCTCACATGCTATGGCAGGGCTGCCTCACCCAGCCCACAGGCTTGCCACAGAACTCAAGTCTGCCCCTTTGGGGGCCATCCAACAAAACAAGAGAGTGACACTGTAGCACCCCACAATGCGCTGCTTATAAGGAGCACACCTGAAAAACAAAACCATTCAGAGACTCCAAATGAGGGGTGAGGACAAAACTGTTCTATCAATCATGTGTCAGACAAAGCAAAAATAAACATTCCCAACATGAAAAGAGATAATGACATTTGGATGAAAAGAGCCGCAGCTCATATGGCTTTTCCTATAGCACTTCAAACTTTCCAAAATCCTTTTAGAGACACAGGTGAACCATCTTTCAAAAAAGTCACCATATATCAATTTTAAATGTTCCATGTTCACAGGACATTGTTAAATTTAGCTTTGGACTGCAAAATCACCTGAAGACTGACACTACCCATTTGATCCCAGCGCCTGGCATAGAGTAGGTGCTGAATAAATACTTTTTTTGATTGACTGGTCGATAATAAATGTATTAATGGGAGTTCAAAAGCATTTTGCAAAGATAACAATAATCTTATCAAATATGCAAATGGCAAGGGCTCACGTATTTTTAAAGGATGGAAAAGTGAACCACACGGAAATGTGGGCGGCTTCTCCACCAGTCAGTACAGGAAAGCTGGGGGCCCCTCTCCTCTCTCACCAGCAGATTACTGACTCAAAAATGAATCTCAGACTAATGGATCACACAGCTAGTCTGGTCGACGTGGGGTCTGTTCACAAGGCAATCACAATGTCGGAACCACAGTAAATACCTTATTATGACAGATGGATTTCCCCGTCAAGTCAGGGGACGCAGACCTGTTTCTAGGACTTGGCCACTCTTCTCCAATCAAAGACGTTCTTAAGGAAACTTTATTTAACTGCTGTATATACAAAAATAGCAGGAACTGGAGGGTGTCCACTGAGAGCTGGCCAAGAAAGAAATAAGAAACCGTCAACCTGTCTATCGACAAAAACAACCACCAGGCTACATCAAAATAGAGCACGGCTGTATTCATTTCACCAGAAGATAAACAGCCGAAGTGTGAGAATCATTCACATGTATTCATATGTGTTTTAGTTAAAAAGCTGCAGAGCTTTCAAAAATTGAACCAATTACCTAAAAAGCATGCAGATACACAGCTGAGGGGCTTCCAATGTCCCTCCCAAAAATGACAACAAAATGTTCTATTTAGTAAAATTTTTTCAAGTTCTTTGTTTTAAAAGTTATAAAGTCAAAAATCATTCTAACAAAACCTGATTATCATCTTAAAATCAAATTCTATATTATGTATAATTCACAGGCCCCACTAACAGTTAAATCTAAACGAAACTGAAAAAATACAAGGAAGTCTGAAATTTCTGAGAAGCCCTCCTTCCTGAGCATGTCATGATTCTGGTAGAACAGAGACAAAAACAAAAGAACAAAGCATTTCAAAAAGATGAGTACGTTTGCACAAGTAGAAGATGGTCAAAATGCCCTATTTCTTATGATCCATTCAAACTTGTTAGTCAGATGGTGAGCCAAATTTGCTTTAGTATTTAATACTCTGGCCATCATTTGGGTAATTAGGTGTCCTGGACAATGTAGGAACAATTTCACGTCCCCTGGTCTGTCTTCCAGAGCATCCCTTTAGATTTGTTTTTCCAGAATGGTAACAGGTTCACACTAAGTCATTCACAAATGTACCTGAACCCCTCTAGACACCAAAGGCTGATACTTGTCGAGAACACAGTCCCTTACTGAAATTTAAAGGGAACAAAGAGTTGATTCTAAACAGGAGAGAATGGAGCACTTCTTGCCAAGAGACCAACCCAATTATGTTACACATGGGGTAATCCTGAAAAGTCAAGAGGTATTTGGGAAATGCGATTTTCAAAAAATGTGAGTATATCTAACCTCACATGGTATGTGGAATAGCAAATAAAGGACAGAAATCCATATACACCATCCACGACGTCTGGGACCAGGCTGCTACTTGACTCTGGGGCATTCTCATTTTCCCCTCAAGAGTTTTCTTCATTTCAGTTTCCTGGTCAAAATTCTAAGCTGGCATCCTGTTCTTTTTTTCTAGCTCACCACAAGGTAGCAATGGTTCTTTAGCTGACTATCCAATGTGAGTTATTTCACATACAGCACATTGAAAATGAAAAAATAGGGCATACTAAGCTGGAAGTTAGGAAACAGTTACTTTTCCTGGCTGATCTTTTTTCTCGATCACTCCATCACCAGAACTAAACATTTTCTGCCTTTTGTTGTTTTTAGGTTTATTCGCACGATTGTGTGATATGCTACAGACTGAGAGGACAGAGCCTGCCTCAGAGTCAGAAAGAGCTGACCAGACCTGATCTGTGGGTTGAAGCTTCTGACGATTATTTATTCCTACAGGGAAATCCACCTCTTGGTGCCCCAGGAAGCTCCTGAAGACAAAGAGCTTCTTCCATCAATGAGACCACAGCCTGGGGCTGGCCCTGCTTCCAAGGATTCTGAATTTAGAGTAGTTTCATTTGAAAAATTAACTAGCTCTTCAACCTACTCACTACACAGAAAAAATAATTAGTCTTCCCTTCTGGGCTAAGAAGCTGCCACCCCCAAACTGCTTCCCTCCTCCATGCGATCCCTGCTCTGCTGCTGGATACGGTGACTGTCATGATGCTGGACCGGCTAAGATTAATTCAGAACCAAAGTCGCCAACTGCTCTGAGGCCACAGTTGGCCTCCCCAACCTACACGCTGCAATTGTACAAACTGTGGTTTCTACACTGTTTGAACCACAAAAATATTGGGACAAATACCTACCTTACTCCTCTGCTTCTCCACATCCTCCTCACACGTGCAGCTGGATACCAATTCGGCCCACTCCAGATGCTCCTCTGGGGTCCTCGGCACCAGACTATCAAAGATTTCAAAGTAAAGCCAAGCAATGTCCCTGGCCAACTGTAGCTTCCCACAGGCGATGTGCCTCCACGTGGGCCAGAAGAGGCGTGGGAAACCTCCCTCTCTGGCTCGGGTTCGAACATAAGTGGATATCTTTCTAAGATAGTGAAGGCTGAATTTGGCTGGAGGAGGCAGGGGCAAAGTGCCCACTATAAACGGTTCTGTTCTCACCCACAGGTGGACAGCTGAGTGCTCCATTTTAATCCAGACACCATCTGTGTCTTAAGAGGCTCCTTTGCAAATCTAGGAAACAAAGTTTCTGTGTAAATCAACTGGAAACAAAAACATGCATACATTTACCAGCGAGACGCTGACAACATATTTAACTATTTTCAAGTGAACAACAGACGGAAGCAGCGCAGAGAGGCCAGCAGAGTTTTGGCAACATCGAATCACAGCCAGCCGGTACTACTTAACCCAAACAATTCCTACCTGCACGGTTCGTGCTAGCTGTTTCAGACGAAGGAAGTGCAAGAAGCGGGAATTTGTGCCTATGGGGTTAGGCTCATTCTCTGTCACCAGGTGCTAGCCCATAAGAAGCCTAGTGTGTTTGGCTGAAATTAATGCAATGATTTTGTAAGATTACAGAAAGGAACTCAGTGGCGGAGTCTACTCCCTTCATCTGACAAGTGAGGAAACTGAGGTCAAGAGTTCAATGATACACCTATCGTCTCTCAGGCATTATAAAGTCCTGCAGGGTTAGGGAAAGACAGCAGATCATGGAAATGGTTTAAAAGGAGTTCGTGTGCAACAGCCCTGGGAGTCTTCTATGTCGTAAGACAATCTCACAAAGAATGGACGACCATGAGCGGAAAAGCCAGCCTGAGGAGAGCCTGCCGAGACCAGAGGAGGCAGAGTTATCATCTCCAGGACATTGAAGGGTGAAAACAAAACCCAGAAGACAAACGGAAAAGCTGCCAAGACTTTCGCAATCCAGTTTTTTCTCCATCAACAACAGTGGAGTCAGTGTACTTGGCCTCTGACAGTGACCCTGGATGGACTTTTAAGGGGTAGAAGAAGGCTAGATGCAGGTAAGAGTGCCAAGAGGAGGTCCACACCAAAGCAAGCACCATTAGGAGGGCGATGAGGGATCGATTCTCAAAGGGGGAAAATACCAATGGTGAGAAACAAAATCTCGGCCCCATCAATACCAAACACAGGTGAGCAAGAGAACAATGGCGGCTGCTGCTGCTGCCCACCCACCCACGTGCCAACTTTACAACTTCCCTGAGAATCGCCTCCACAGGCACTGTCGGCATCCTCAGAATTAAGGGCGTTAGCGGCAAACCAGCAGCCTTTGGCAAGCACTATTTCCCAGTGGACCACATCTGTACCATTACACAAAAGACAGAATATATGGTGCTTATTTGTTGGCTTTTTAAAAGCATGTGATTTGGCAGAGAAAAATGCCACCTTGAGCACGGCTCTTTCCTAGAAGGTGTCTCCCACCCAATCAGTCAGTCAGCCGGTCAATAAGCACATTTCCAGGATCTACTAAATGCCAGGCACTGTGCCAAGTGCTGGAGATACAAAAAGAGGCAAAAGACATAAGAGATAATCATGACCAGCGACCCTGTGATCAAAAACATCAAGTGAGGCACGCAACAGGACGATGCACGCTTGCCAGTAGTATTGGCCACTGTGATGGAAAAGCTCCCTAACTGCTTATGAGAGGTTGGCCTGACTATGCACACGACAAAAACCAAATGGATGAAGAATATTTATTACTCAGATTATGACATGCAGTTAAATGGACAAATCCTAACTCCCGTCCATCAGTATGTGTATCTGGGAGAAATAATACAAATAAAGCAGTTGGGGCCACAATTAAATAGTAGAAGAGTCAGCTGGGTTGCCTCCAGGAAATTACAAAGTTCACAAACTTATCCCAGAAACAAAAGTCCATCTTATTAACAACAGTTGTTAATGTCCATTTGTGTGGTTGTGAGACATAGTGCACAATAATCCCTGAAGAATTAAAAATGACACACAGAGTGGTTGTCATAAGGGTGGTTGGGGGCAGGTTGCAACATACGACACAAACCAATGAAGAACTCGGATGAATAGGAGTTAGGATACCATCAGGGAAATTGTGATAGAAATGGAAGACGGATCAGTTACATGGTGAGGAATGACAGATAGACAGCCCGAGGGCTCCAATGATGTCCTCAGATGTCAGGAGAAAGTAAAGGAGACTGCCAACAGATTAAATGGACCTCTGCTAGCAAATTTATGGAAGGACACGGAAAAGAGTCATACAGGAAAGGGATGGATGGGTGGCAATCCGCAATGCCAGTGAGATTGCCTGGATCCATGAGATCACAGATCTGAGAGAAAAAGCAGATGAGACTGGAGGACTTGAGATTATCATGATCTCAATGTAATACAAGTGTGAAAGTATCAGACAAAAAAAACAAGGCAAGTCATTCAAGAGACCTTTTATACAGAGCCTTCTACACACTAAACACTGGGGAGGCCGGTTCTTACCCTCAGTGAGCTTATACTCTACTGAGAGGGATATAACAGATACAGATGGGGATAAGCTAATTTGAAAATAGGATAATTCAAAAAGAGATCATTAACAGCAGAGGTGATCCAGAAAAGCTTCACACATCAATGACACCTAAGTTAAGTCTGGACGGAACAGGCCCTTAGCCTGCCTTATCAAGTCCAGAACACAGACGTCTATAGGCCAGCTGTGCTCTACCACGGTCAGACTATTTATCATGTCCCATTTTAAAAGGAACACTGAAAAGCTGCCATAAATTTAGAAAAAGGCAATCAGTGACCTTTTCTGGTTGTGATACAGACTCACCTGACTGTTTGGAGATTCACGACCTTGTTCCAAGATCATGGCAAATCACCTGAAGTGCATTACCAGGACTATGAAGGTACCGGAAAGTAACGTGGAAGGGGCATGAGGGATCTCCAACAGAAATCTTACCCTGGATGGGCTCGCTGAGGACATCGAATGGCAGTGATGCCAGGGGAAGCCAAGTCACTGATGACAGAGAGAAATTTCTGAGACCATCAGCATATCTACAAAATGGAAATGGCCTGAAGATGTTCCATGGCAGGTCTGCTGATGCTGCCTAGGGCTAAGGTGATCCAGAGGGAAAACTTCCTCAGTTCCATAGGTTTCTTCTAAGAATTTAAGGGACAGGGGAGTTTGTTTCTCCATTTTCCAGCCCTGTTTTATCTTGCTTGTTTCTCCATTTTCCAGCCCTGTTTTATCTTGCTTGTTTCTCCATTTTCCAGCCCTGTTTTATCTTGCCTTCTCCTCAACCTCCACACAGTCAGATACATGCTAGTATTCACCTACATCCCTGCTGTCCATAAGAGTATTCCTCCTTGCTACTGAATCTCCTGGATGAGGAAAATGTCACAGGGCTATATTGGTCATTCTGAGGAAACCGAGGGGCAGAAACATTTCAAAAACCATCAATGGAATGTTATGTACCTTTCTTTCCTTCCCTGTGGGAAAAACTAAAGACTAAAGATTTTTTTTTAAAGGCTCTAGTGCTATTTTGGAAAAGTTATCTATTCTTCTTCACTGAATAATTTCCCAAACTGTTAATAAAATGAAATAAGGTTGGAATAAATTCTGCCTCTGAAGCACATCAACTAGGCTATTGTGCTGAAATCTTTCCCCTCTGGAATCCTTGGAAGACAAGCCAACTTAACAACAAGGCGGTTAAAAGAACTGAAAACTATGTCTGTCACATGAGGATGGATTGAGGGAACCAGAGATGTTTATTTTGGAGAAGAAAAAAACATAGAGGGAACATGACAATTGTCTGCATACACTTGAAAGGCTGCTGTGAGGAAAAGGGATGGAACTTGTGTTTAGTTGCTGAGGGTACAATTCCGACAAATGGGAGAAAGCAGAAGTAGATGTCAGGTTCAATATAAGAAAAGTTTCCTGATTAGTTTCCCCTGGCTTCAAGCACAGGCTCCCTGAATGAGAGGTTAGACAGGATGAAATCTGAGGTCCCCAAAGCTGTCCTAACTTTTCTCCTTTTGTTTTGTTTTGAAATCATCCTCAAAAGTGAAAAGATGGTGGGTTTTAAGGCAGAAGGGGCAAGCTGGACCACTAAAGCACCCTCCCAGAGACCCCCCAGCTTCCCATCACTCCCCCATTGCCTAGTGCCTTTGGGATCCAGCATCTGCTGTACCCTCCAGACCCCTGGGATTCCCACCCGGGTCAAGCCCAGGGGCACAACCCCAGGACAGGGGACAGGGAGACAGATTTGGGTTAAGTGTTAGGGGGGGGCACTCACTGACCTGCAGGGAGCTTACCCCAGACCCTCCCCACTCGGAAGGGCCATATGACGACCCCCCCCAACAGGGAAGTTGTCAGACCCTCCTCCAGAAGGGAAGCCGTGAGCACTGAGCCCCCTCCCCCGCAAAAGGAGGCCGTGCTCTACGGCCCCCCAGACCTTTCCCACTGGGGAGGCTGCATGACCCGCCGCTTTACACGGGGAGAAGCAAATGAGGCCATAGGGCCCCCTCCCCAACTGGGGACAATCTGGTACCCTCCCCCTCAAATGGGGAGGCCGGAGGACCTCCTCCCTTAAAGTGGAGGGCATGGGACGACTCCCCTCCAAAGGGGGAGAACCCGAGACCCCTCTCAAATGGGGAGTCCTGGAGCCCTCCTCTCTTAAATGGGAAGGGTGTCATAGGTCAACCCGGGACGCCCCACCCCCACAGACCACCGGCCCTGGACGTTACCTGCAGTGAGCGCCCAAGCAGAGCAGGGGGCGGGACGCGAGGGACTGTCCTGACACCCGCCTGCGCCTGCGCAGAGTCTTCCTCTGCGGAGGCTGAGGGGAGCCACGGCGCAGGCGCGGAAGCACAGCAGGCGAGACTCCAGTCCGCCGGGAGGCCTAGAGCGGCCTCTTCCAGCGGCTGGCCGAGATTCGGACCGGGCGGACGCGAGATCACGTGGCGCTTCTCGGCTCTCACGTTGACAGCCCCCGCCTCGGAAGTATAACACTGAATTTCTCTCGGCTAATATCCATGGTGAGGGCTCAGTAAAGATTCAGTTGCAGTTGACCCCAGACTTTGAAAAAACCTAACCCTCCAGTTCCCCAGACAAGGACTGCCGTAAAACTCCCGATGATTGGCTCGAGATTAGGTAAGAGGGGCTACCGCTTTTAGGGATTGGCAAAGGGAGACAGGAGGCGGGGCTCACAAAAAGCGCTACTGCTCGCAGTTGGCCAGCAGTCCGTCATTTTGCTCCAATCCGAGAGCCGCGTATTACTATGGGAAAAAGAGGGGGCGTGGCGACGCCGGTGACGCTGCCGCCTGTGATTGGTCAGCCCTAGGATGCCGCTCTCCTGGTCCGTCCCTCACGGGAACGCGATCTAGGCGTTGAAGTGTCCGTCGGTGATTGGCCACAGCGCCGGCACGCGCTGATGCCCTAGGCGCTGATTGGCCTGACTCTGCATCGGCCCCGCCTCCCGCGGGGAGCGGGGACTCCCGGGATAGGGGAAGAAGGTGCGGGCTGTCGCTGAGGAGACTGACCATGGCCCCGCACAGGCTGGGCGGCCTGTGCCTACTGCTGCTCTACATGCTCGGAGCCGTGATGGCGGGGTGAGGAGAGCGGGGCCTCGGCGTGGAGGGCGTCAGGAGGCAGGGGAGGAAGGATCGGGGAGGCTGAGGGAGGGAAGCGCTGCCGGTGATGGGGGGCGATGGGGGAGGGGATGAAGGGGGCTGAAGACTGAGGGGGGCAGAGCTGTCTGGGAGGGGGCGGGGACGAGGGGGACCGGGCTATGCTGGGGGACGAGACGGGGGCAGCGTGAGGGGAGCCTGAGGAGTGAGGGGATAGGACTGTCTGACCGGGGGGCTAATGGGGGAGGGGATGAGGGACACGGAGCTTTGTTGGGGGGGCTGAGGACTGAGAGGTCGGGGCTGTCGGTGGTAGGGGAGGGGATGGGGGGCAGCGTCAAGGGAGGCTGAGGTTGGGGGGGTGGGCAGGGCTTCCTGTGGTGGGGGAGGGGATGAAGGGGATGGGGCCGAATACTGAGGGGTCGGGGCTGTGTGTGATGGAGGAGGGGATGAGAGGCAGGGGGCTGTGTTGGGTGGGGGTGCTGGGGCCTCAGGGGGCAGGGCTGCCTTGTTAGGGGAGGGGTGAGGGGGGACAATGTCAGGGGAGGCCGAGGACTGGAGGGCAGGGCTGCCTGTGATGGGGGGGGCCTCTGTCCTGGGAAGAGAGTGATGGAGGGAGGGTGCTGGGGGTGGGGAGCAATGTCTGTGATGGAGACGGTGAGGGAGGGACAAGGCTGTCTGAGAAAGTGAGGAGATGGGGATGGGGGGCACATCTTTGTGCTGGGAGGGCAGGGTTGGGCAGGTTGAATGGATGGGGCAGGAGGGGAGGAAAGCAGTGTCTGCTGGGGGCAGTACAGGAGAGAGGTGAAGGGTAGGACGCCATGGGGGGATGAGGAGGTGAGAGAGCAGGGCTTGGCTAGGGGTAATGTTGGGGAAGCTGAGTAGTGAGGGGAGCAGAGCTCTTCTGAGAAGGGGTCAGTGGCAGGTGCAATGCCAGGGAGTGTCTGGAAAAAGCTGATTAGGGATAGACTTATGGGAGACATGGTCATTATCTGTCAGGTGGGAGTAGAAGTACATTTGTTTTGCTTGGCCCCAGAGGACTGAATTAGGAGTCAGCAGGTACAAGTGGCAAAATGGCAATTTTAGCCCTGAGGAAAGGGGAAAAAAAACAAGAATAAAATCCTGCTAATAAGTAGAGCTATCCAGAAGTAGTATGGACTGCCTCAGGATGTAATGGATTGCATCCAGTAGGTCTTCAAGAAAAAACTCAATAAGCAAATTTGTAAGTTAATGTTGCAAGAGACCATTTCCTGTAGTTGAAAATGTTAAAATAGTTTTACAGATTTTCAGATAGGTACTCAATATTTTAAACACCTTTGTGGATATTTGATAACCTGAGACTGATTCAGTTCTTTTAACTAGAGTCTGATGGGAAAGAGAGCCTTTGACAGAACTCCTAGGTTCCAGGTGTTCTGTACAGAACTGGGATATGTCCTGGAGTAGAGCACTTCTACCTACCTTTACTGCTTCGTTTCTGTTTTGCTAGTATCATTGTTACCTACATTTGTCAAGAATGACCTGACTTTCCCCTGAAAGATGAGGATGAGTGGTGCTTATAATTTATTCAGAATAACTTGTACAAGGAAAGGAAATGATTCTAGAAGGAGGAACCTTTTTCAAGAACTTGGTCCCAAAGTATCTATCCTCCCCATCAGTGAGGTCACTATGACTTTAGGAACCACTCTTTCCTGAAGCACTAGACTATTGGTGAACTTTTACCAGTTCTTGTGAATTGCCTTTGTCTACTAAAAGTAAGTTAATGCGTAGCTTTTTATAAAGTTTTAAGCTTGCATAACCCTTTTCTCATGAGGCAGGAACTGTGTTAGTCTCATTTTATGGATGAAGCTTAGATGGGCCAAGTCCCCTGCAGGCCGCATATTGACTTAGAAAACCACGATTAATGTTATCTATGCTGTATTGTATTATTTATTTTCTCAAACATTTCCCAGTTACATTTTAATCTGGTTCTGGCCATCATTGGGGAGTTTTGTGGAGTGCTTACAGTGACACTTCTGGTTTAGATGACTCGCCCAAGATCATACAACTAATCGGTATCAGAGCTATTGAACCCAGAGTTCTCACTCTGAATCTAGAACATTTACTGAATCACCTTGTTGTAAACTGGGCATGCCAACAATCAGTCATATTCCTTTCTGTTGTACTACTCAAGAGATGTGATAGTGAGGCTGTTGTGTTGGTTTTTTTCCACTTAAACAAGAACATCAGAAATCATAAATTCAAATAAATGAATGTGGTTCCCTTCAGAGTAGTCAAGTCGCCTTGGGAAGCTGCATGTGGATTCTAATGCTCAAAGCGATTTGGGACCTTCTCTGTAGGAATCACTTTCAGAGGCTGCTATACATTCTTTGGAGTTCCATTAGTGGGGGCTAAATTGTCATCCCTGGAGAAAGGATTTGATTTTTGAAAATAGCCAAAAGTCGTTCTGGGCCAAATGTGGTGGATAAGGTGGGTAATCATTCTGGCTAATACTGGATTTGGATTTGAAAAAAAAATGAAGTTTCGTTGTGAAATAATTGATTTTCTCACGTAGCTTCCTATGAAGGTGGTTCTCAAAGAGGATTTCTAAATAGCATTAGAGCAAAAGCAGAATTCTGGGGATCATTCGTAGTGTTGGAAATAGCGCTAATGAAAAGTGTTTTATATTTATATAGTATTTTATTTTACATTTTTATTTGATCTCCCAACAACCATCAAAGGTAGATAGTACAGCTCTTATTATCCTCATTTTACAGATGAGGAAACTGAGGGTCAGAAAGGTGAAGTGACATATAGCTAGTAAGTGGCAGAGCTGGGACTCAGACCCAGGACTTCTGATTCTATTCCCAGTATTCTTTCCACTACCTACGGCTGCCTTTCCAAATGTATAGCCTCCCAAGGTCACTGTGTTGAAGGGGACAACATTTATTTGTATGTGTAAGTTCTAGTTTGTTAAAAATTAAATCTCATAGTCACACTTCTTTGATTTTTCTAAGTTGTGTTCCTCTCCATTACTCAGGCATAAGCCTGAGAAAAAGCTTTGGGGGTATTTTCCATAAAACAGCCTAAAACTTTTATAACCAAGTGATTTCTTCTCCCCAGGCGAGATTTCTATAAGATCCTAGGGGTACCTCGCAGTGCATCTGTAAAAGATATTAAAAAGGCCTATCGGAAACTGGCTCTGCAGCTTCATCCTGACCGGAACCCCGATGACCCACGAGCACAAGAGAAGTTCCAAGATCTTGGGGCTGCCTATGAGGTCAGTAAGAAAATGCACATGTCACAGTTGTGAGTAGGCCCACACAGCTATGCCGAAGTCCATCTGGCACCGAGAAAGACTCACTCTCTTTGTTTAGGGAGCTTCCCTTTTAAATGGGTCAGATGGAAACATGAGGAAGACTTAATGCTAAATCATATGTGGCCACCATACTCATCTTCCTACCTAACTTACTCAGGCTTTCTTTTCCTTCATTTCCTTCAGGAAAATGAAGGTGAAGAAATGAATGGGGCCTAGGTACACATCTTGGGGGAGCTGGAACTAGAAAGAATGACAACATCCCTGACTTACTTTTCCTCTAATGAAGTTATAATGCTGGTCAAACATGTCGCCTTGCTGTGTGGTCACTACCCTCAGGGATCCTTTTTCTCTTCTAGCCATATGACGCAGGTGGAAGGTAAATGAATTGCCCGAGTGGTGGAGTTAGAATTCTTGAATTCTTGCTTCTCTCTTCTTTTTGCTAGAAAGGAAGGAATGGAAAAGAAACATGAAAACTAACGGTGGTAGAAAATGTTCAAAAGGGGAAGGTGTTGGTAGCCACTAGTCTTTTTGATGCTTATGCTTCTTTCTAGCTTAAGACAGGGTTCTTATATCATCTTCTAGGTTGTAGAAGCACTCCCCAGCTCAATGAAACTCAGGGCAGATCTGGTTCTTTTAATGTTGCCTCCTTTAACTCTATAACCCAGGTGCAAGTGGAACTGTATAAAAATATCTGGAATGAATGGCACCGGTTATATTTGAGGATTCAAATCCTGGCCCTGTCCTATACCAGCTGTGTGTGACCTTGGGCAAGTCACTTTTGGGCCTCAGGTTTAAAATTTGTATAATGAAAGTGTTGGACAAGTGGTTCCTGAGATCTCTTCTGCCTCTTGAAATCCTGTAATCTGCCTTGTACGCATAGTTCAAGGAAATTATATGAGTTATCTGTCAAAACAAGCACTTTTGTCCTTCT